ATCAGCAGGAGAGGACTCTTTAAAGTAGAGACACTACATACTGATATACACCTGAACATTAGCAGGAGAGGACTCTTTAAAGTAGAGACACTACATACTGATATACACTTGAACATCAGCAGGAGAGGACTCTTTAAAGTAGAGACACTACATACTGATATACACCTGAACATTAGCAGGAGAGGACTCTTTAAAGTAGAGACACTACATACTGATATACACCTGAACATCAGCAGGAGAGGACTCTTTAAAGTAGAGACACTACATACTGATATACACCTGAACATCAGCAGGAGAGGACTCTTTAAAGTAGAGACACTACATACTGATATACACCTGAACATCAGCAGGAGAGGACTCTTTAAAGTAGAGACACTACATACTGATGTACACCTGAACATCAGCAGGAGAGGACTCTTTAAAGTAGAGACACTACATACTGATATACACCTGAACATCAGCAGGAGAGGACTCTTTAAAGTAGAGACACTACATACTGATATACACCTGAACATCAGCAGGAGAGGACTCTTTAAAGTAGAGACACTACATACTGATATACACCTGAACATCAGCAGGAGAGGACTCTTTAAAGTAGAGACACTACATACTGATATACACCTGAACATCAGCAGGAGAGGACTCTTTAAAGTAGAGACACTACATACTGATATACACCTGAACATCAGCAGGAGAGGACTCTTTAAAGTAGAGACACTACGTACTGATATACACCTGAACATCAGCAGGAGAGGACTCTTTAAAGTGGAGACACTACGTACTGATATACACCTGAACATCAGCAGGAGAGGACTCTTTAAAGTAGAGACACTACATACTGATATACACCTGATATACTAACTTCCCCCCCCCCCCCCCCTTCTCAGATTTTCCAGGGTAACCGGCGCACCTTCCAGGGACAGGGTTATCACTCGGGGGCTCAGCGATATAACGGCGCCTCGTATCACGACAGGAACTTCACCCGGGCGAACCACCGACAGCATCAGAGTGACGGGGCCCCCCCTGGCCCCTCGCAGCCCCCCCACAGAGGCCCCGCCCCCTCCTCCACCTCCTCCAATGGGCTGCCTCAGAGGACTCCGCGGACCATGACATTAGAAGAAAAAGAAAAACGTGAAAAAGCTCAATCAAAACCCATCTACTAACCTGCCCGGTAACACCCCTCCCCCCCTCCACCATTACACCCCCCCCCTCCCTACCCTTTACTAACTCCTTTCAATGAAGAATAGAAACACGTTTACATTATTCCGTCAGCTGTAGAGACGCCTGTTCATCCGCCATTCATCCTCCAGACTTGTAGCTTCCTCCGCGTCCTCGTTCGGTCAGGGCTGGCACTCTGAGGGAAATTAAACACCAATATATTTCTAATATCATCCCTTATAATTGTGAGGATATTGTAGGGTTGCTTTGACTCAATATTTACGTAATTTAGATGAATGATCATCATTAATGTGGATGTATTGACTGAATTGGTAAAGGGAAATGAGAAAACATTTATTTATCAGTTACAGTCCTCGTTTTGAGTCAATCACAACAGAGCTAGTTTCGTCTATTTCTTTATGCTAAGCTAAGCTAGCTTCTTACAGTCAATCTTTCTATCCAACTCTCCGCGTCTCGTTCCGCGCGCGTCGTCTCCGTTCCTCTGCACATATTTAAATCATGCTTGCCTTTTTGTCACGGAGAGAATCACGTTTGCCTTTTCCCTCCAGACGGCTGCATCATGACGGTACTTTAGACTAATATACCCCCCCTCCTCTTTTTATAATCCCATATGTGAATGAAGCAAACTCCGAATCAAGCCGTGAGTTTGAGGAACAGGAAGCTGCCGTTTCCTCTCGTCTGAAGGACTCTCTCCTCTCCTGTACTTTTGGTCACGCAGGCTGTTTACATGATGATACTGTCGTCTTCCTTCCACTCGTTAAGAAACTGAAGTTATAATATTATTTTCTTTCTCTTCTTTAGTTCCCCTGACCGAAGGGAGAGTTTTGTTCTCATTTGAGATTTAAAGAGTTATTATTTGTAGTTAATTGTGTGGAGAGAAGAGTTTGTTTGCACGTTAAAATGTGCTTAAAATACGATTTAAAGTCGAGGAGTAGTTCGACATTTTGAGGATTTTTCATGCAGTTTTTAACGCATGAATCTCGTCTTCGTTGCAGAAATGTAACGACTTTTTTTGTTTCCTTTTTCCGACGATATTTTCCCAATTACATCTAGAAAACTTGAGTCGTTTCATCGAATGGGTTTCAATTTCATTTTTAAGCAGAGACACCCTCTCTAACTCACAGGGCTATCAGCGAGCGCCGACGTCAATCAACTCCATTTCCATAAGTGAAAAAACAAAGCTCCTTAATTTGAATCAGCCCCAAAATGCAATCACTTCTCCCTTAGTTAATGCTTAAGCTTTGATTTAAATTTCATGAGAATCGGACGTACATGTTTTCCGTAATCCTCCTGTGAGTGACGCAAAAAACGAAAAAATGCCCCCATCTCTCCGTTAGAGATCCAGCTTAGAAAGAGACGAATGTCTTTCCTTTAAGTCCTCTCCCTGGTGGCGATGTCGAGTCTGCAGTTTGATAAACACATTTATTCCAGTTGTTTTGTTCACAAAGACTTAAATCGAGCTTTCTTTATGTTTTTACACTTTAACCACTTTTTTAGTTTCACATTCCAACCTGTAGAAATATTAATTCATCGCCAAAGAAAAATAATTCCGTCCTGTTTTGTTTTTTTAAGCTGCTGCCTTTTCCTTTTCCTCCGCACAGCCTGTAAAGATGACCCCCCCCCCCCCCCCTCTCTTCTTCTTCATCTACTTCCTGTTCACCTTCTCTCCTGTATATACATCTAAGTGTAGCCGTCAGTGTGCGCTCACATGGGGCGTTCTGTATGTTCATATGAGGCATCATGAGGTCCTCCTTTCTGAGACAACTGTAAACTCAAAGTGCCTTTTCTTGTCTCACCCCCCCCCCCCCCCCAATACCCTGATCCATTGACCCCCCCACCCCACCCGAGTTATGGACCAAAGACATCGACCGCCCCCCCCCTCTCCTTTCTCTCCATTCACTGAATTGCACACTTTTCATTTACTACGAATAAACGGTTTGCAATACTGACTGTGTGTTTTATTTTTTATTAAATTGTGCTTTAAAAGTGGAAATAATGTTGAAAAATGTGAAACAGAACTAAGATCAAACTCTTAATACACAACATAATTAAGTCATTTATGTCCCAACAATAAGCAGTAGACTGGGTGTTTCTCAATGTCGAGGACGCTTCCTTGGTAGGACATGTCTTCCGAATCAGGTCGTTTAGAAGCGAGGCAAGGATCCTTCCTAGCCTCGGCGGACGAAGAATGGAACAGGCTACCAAGTGTGTCATATGAGAGGCCCCGCCTTAAAGATTTTGGAAATTGGTCCCGGAGGATACACATGTGCCGGCCTCGGTAGAATTCCAAGCATCCTGGACATTGGAAAGGTCCTTCGGCGGGACTCGATGACGTAGCATCCTTGAAATAGTGGCTCTGGAGGAGCCTTCCTCGACATTGAGAAACACCCCCGGTTTCAAGGAAGAAATATTACATCCAACAGGTTAAATGTGTGATTTGGTTGTTGTTGTTGTTGTTGTTGGAGCCAAAATGCTCCGGTGTTTTATTATTCTCATTATTTGTGAACACCACACACACGCTGTGATTGGTTGTTTCCGTTATAATAGTATACTGACTTTTTTCCAGATATTTTAGACATATTTTCGTATGTCAAAAAAAGTAATAGCGTATATTTAGTATTTTCTATACAAACAAGATCAAACTCTTAATATACAACATAATTAAGGCTTTTCTGTCCAACAATAAGCAGCAAACTGTTTCAGGGAATAAATGACATAAATAATAACTTTAGTTTTAGAGAATATCATAAAACAGGTTGAATGTGTTGGTCGTTGTTGTTGGAGCCAAAATGCTTCTGTGTTTATAGTTGTATTCTCATTAGTCGTTAACGCCGCACACTTCGGTCTTTGGTGAGTGATTCTGATTGGTTATGGTTTTGATTTACTTTATTTGATATTCTTAAAATGTTCACTTCAGTGCAGACTTTATTATTAATACAGCGATCAGAGAAGATTAGCCTTTTCTTTCTCGACGTACTGACTTTTTCCAGATATTTTTGATACACTATATTTTCAATTTTTCGGAATACTATACTATGTCATTTAATTCGACATACTTCACTAAGAATGTTTTCAGATTTGTTCTTACTTTACTATTCATTTATGTAAATCATGAAATACATGTTACGTGCCGTAGTGGGGGCTCGTGTCTCCCCCTCTCCCTCAGGTGCTCCCAATCCCCAACCAGGGCCTCCATAAAGGACCTGAGGAAGGCTGCAGTCTCTCTCCTTCTCCTGCGAGCTGCATGGATGGCAGTGGGTGATCTGTGCAGCAGTGTTTTGTTGGACGTGCAACTTGTAGAAGTTCTGACCAGTGTCTTGGTTTACTGTTGTTTTGGTTTTGTCGTAAGTTTGCAAATTGGCTGGTGAGCCTCCTTTTCTTTTACTAATCAAAAGAACATCTGGTGGCTTCACAAATCAGTTTCCTCTCTCCCGGTTATTATATATTTTGCTACTTCCCTTCGTACCCCAGTCCAGGAGGGAACACCTTCTAGTGCTCATCTTGATCCGTTTATTTATTTACAGGCACCTCAAACTGATGTATTTTCTTTAAAAAGTACTATACCATTACTTTTTTGGGGATATTTTCGACATAATATACTATGATTACATTTCGAAATACTATACCATACTATGTCATGACTTTTTTCAAATGTTCTCGACATCCTATACTGTGACGTTTCTTCTCAAAATGTTGACATAATGTAAAATAAATATTGACTGTCGTTTTTTCTCAATTCCAAAATACTTTACTAATCCTGTTTTATGTAAATCATGAAATACAGATATCCCCAGTTCTTTGTAATAAACACAAACACCTCGTAGCGCTCATCTTGATCCGTTTATTTATTTACAGGCACCAAAAAACATGATGTATTTTCTTTAAAAAAAGATTCCAAATCAAGAACAAATGTCTTCTTCCTGTCCGGAGGAGCAGCTCACATGTTGACATGATTTAAACAGTTTGTTGTTGTTGTCCTCAGTTTGGTAAACAGTCAGAAATACACAATGCAGAAAACAAATACACAAAGTGAGGAGCGAGTGTGTGAGGAGGTTCAGAGGCCCATCACCGAGGGAAACACAGCGGCACCTGCAGAGGACACACACACACACATTACTGTAATGGTCTTTTTTGTGTCATCACGATTGTTTTGTATTTATTTTCTATATAGCTCCTGCATTTGTACTCTGTGTGTTCTCCTGTTATTGTGTGGGAGAAACCAATAAGTAAAGAGTTCCCTTTGTACCTTGGGGGGGGTCCTGGGGCTCGCTCTCGGGGGCCTTCCAGTCCAGCTGCCTCCCCTTCTCGTACAGCCCCTTCAGGACCTTTCTCACCTCGTCGTTGCCCCCCCCGCGGCTCAGCTCCAGGTACTTCCTGTAGAGCGCCAGCGCCGTGCGGGGCGTCCTCGATACTGTCGTGGGTCTCGCCCTGGATGTTCAGCTCTGCGCACACACACAGGGGGGGGGGGGGGTTACACTTTACTGGCATCGCACAGAGTACAAGACAACGAAACTCTGAGCGCAGCATCCGGACTAAAACTGTGGTGGAAATTCAAGTTAAAGTTCCCCTAGTATACTGTTCTTCATCAATATATAATCTCAGATATATCCAGAGCCTGTCTCTGATTGGCTGACACACCAAACAGATCATTGCAGCATTACCCATAATCCCCCCTGTTTCCAAAGTGCTGATTCTCTGTCTGTTACTTTAGGAGGAGATTCAGGTGATAAGGGGGGGGGGGGGGGGTTACCTTGGTTGCTGATTGGCTAACACAAGACAAAACATCGTTATGACATCATAAAGTGGCCAAAATCTGATCAGCTCATTTTCAGACAGGTTTTTATAGAAATGGATCAAAAAGAGAGAGAATCTTTGATCACAAACACAGGGGTTAGAGTACAAGTACAAGACAACAAAACACAGCTAAACAGAAAGTGCAAAACGAGCAGAAAGTTGTTCAAGTATGATATATATTTATATCTGCTAGATGTAAAACAAAATGGATGTATTAACACTAAGAACACTGTGAGGAGTTTGGAGCATATACTGCAGTGTAAAAATACTCAGTTAAATGCTGTCCCTTGAAAACGAGATCTCAAGGGGTTTACCCTAATAAATGCATTTCAAACATAATTGTCGCGTTAATGAATTCAATGTCGTACTTTCTGAAGGTGGGGTTCATTTGAATGACTTATCTACTCGCTAGCTTCATCTATAATAAAGTAGTAGTACGCCCTACATCTCGACTTACTACTACGGTACTATGTCATGTCTTACTTCTGTTGCTTTCACTCGCATATTTCTGTCTTTGTGTAGTTGATATTTCAGGATGATTATTGGCCGTACGTCCGACTGCTGCTTCACTGTACTTCATGTGATTCTGGTGTAAAGCGGTTTAAATAAACTAAACAACGAGAGTGAACCAAAGACTCACGATAAACACAGACCCTTCAGACCGTGGAAAAGTAAAGGTTAGACAATCATTCACTACAAAAGAAAGTACAATAGGCGCCCTAACTTACCCAGGAAGTACCAGGCGAGGAACCTCAAAGAAATCATCCTTTTGCGAGGAAGATGGAACAAGTGCACCGTGTCCACCACCTGATCTTTGAGGACCTTCAAAACAACAACAACAACAACAAAACTAAATGTAATGCTTGAAGAGGAAATGTGTAGCTAGAGATCTGATGTTCCTATAGGAGCCAACATGCTGCGGGAGCCTGCGTTTATAGCTATATTATCTTCATTATTCCCTTGACACTGATTGATCTCAGGTTGTGTTTGACTCACCAGCAGGTTGATGACTCTGAAGTCTTTCTGCAGGCCGTGACCCACGAAGCGCACGCCGGTGTCGATGAGGAACCTGAGCTTCAGGTACGTAGACTTCAGCGTGGTCAGGTGCTTCGAGGAGATCTTAGCGTCCAGGTCTCCGGGTTTTATTCCAGAATACTGAGTCAGGTAGTCCACCACCTGCAGGGAGACACACAGAGGGGAGTTAGGGTTTAAAGAAGGGGTCCTATCTGTTAGGGAAATAATTGTCCTAGACTCCTAGATATGACGTGCATGACCAACCCTGACGTCTGTTATCTCCTTTAAGGAGATAGGCTGCTTCAGCCATAATGTTGTTGTTCCCATTCTGTGACCGGATAACCCTAGGTCACAGATGGTTTATTGTTGTAGGTACACTGGGACACTTCCTTCTCTGTGTTTGTGGACTCCAAGGTGTGAAATCTTCGAGGCCATAAGTGTCAGACGCAAGTAACTCAGTGTTCCCAACTGTTTAGGCTATCTTCTCAAATATGTTGATTACTCTCTGTGAAACCAGTAAAATGGGCTGACGAGAGAGAGGCGCTCCAGAATTGACGTGGCAACTCTCCCGTGAAGTCAGAACCTCTGGCTCTTGGACTTGTCTTGTGAATTCTCCGGCCGAAGCTCCAAATAAACCATCAGTGTTTGACATCAAAGCTCCTGCTCTTCCCATGTCTCTTTCCTGAGTCGGTGACTCCCACTGCATTGCTACACAGAAGTTTCCCTTACACTATCCATATGTAGTGTCTCTACTTTAAAGAGTCCTCTCCTGCTGATGTTCAGGTGTATATAGTGTCTCTACTTTAAAGAGTCCCCTCCTGCTGATGTTCAGGTGTATATCAGTATGTAGTGTCTCTACTTTAAAGAGTCCTCTCCTGCTGATGTTCAGGTGTATATCAGTATGTAGTGTCTCTACTTTAAAGAGTCCGCTCCTGCTGATGTTCAGGTGTATATAGTGTCTCTACTTTAAAGAGTCCCTCTCCTGCTGATGTTCAGGTGTATTAGTGTCTCTACTTTAAAGAGAGTCCTCTCCTGCTGATGTTCAGGTGTATATCAGTAATGTAGTGTCTCTACTTAAAGAGTCCTCCTCCTGCTGATGTTTCAGGTGTATATCGTATGTAGTGTCATCTACTTTAAAGAGTCCTCTCCTGCTGATGGTCAGGTGTATATCAGTATGTAGTGTCTCTACTTTAAAGAGTCCTCTCCTGCTGATGTTCAAGTGTATATCAGTATGTAGTGTCTCTACTTTAAAGAGTCTCTCCTGCTGATGTTTCAGGTGTATATAGTGTCCTCTACTTTAATAGTCCTCTCCTGCTGATGGTCAGGTGTATATCAGTATGTAGTGTCTCTACTTTAAAGAGTCCTCTCCTGCTGATGTTCAGGTGTATATCAGTATGTAGTGTCTCTACTTTAAAGAGTCCTCTCCTGCTGATGTTCAGGGTATATAGTATAGTGTCTCTACTTTAAAGAGTCCTCTCCTGCTGATGTTCAGGTGTATATAGTGTCTCTACTTTAAAGAGTCCTCTCCTGCTGATGTTCAGGTGTATCAGTATGTGTGTCTCTACTTTAAAGAGTCCTCTTCCTGCTGATGTTCAGGTGTATATCAGTAGTGTCTCTACTTTAAAGAGTCCCTCCTGCTGATGGTCAGGTGTATATCAGTATGTAATGTCTCTACTTTAAAGAGTCCTCTCCTGCTGATGTTCAGGTGTATATAGTGTCTCTACTTTAAAGAGTCCTCTCTGCTGATGTCAGAGTGTATATCAGTATGTAGTGTCTCTACTTTAAAGAGTCCTCTCCTGCTGATGTCAGGTGTATATCAGTATGTAGTGTCTCTACTTTAAAGAGTCCTCTCCTGCTGATGTTCAGGTGTATATCAGTGTCTCTACTTTAAAGAGTCCTCTCCTGCTGATGTTCAGGTGTATATCAGTATGTAGTGTCTCTACTTTAAAGAGTCCTCTCCTGCTGATGTTCAGGTGTATATAGTGTCTCTACTTTAAAGAGTCCTCTCCTGGTGATGTTCAGGTGTATATCAGTGTAGTGTCTCTACTTTAAAGAGTCCTCTCCTGCTGATGTTCAGGTGTATATAGTATGTAGTGTCTCTACTTTAAAGAGTCCTCTCCTGCTGATGTTCAGGTGTATATATAGTGTATCTACTTTAAAGAGTCCTCTCCTGCTGATGTTTCAGGTGTCAGTATGTAGTGTCTCTACTTTAAAGAGTCCTCTCCTGCTGATGTTCAGGTGTATATAGTGTCTCTACTTTAAAGAGTCCTCTCCTGCTGATGTTCAGGTGTATATAGTGTCTCTACTTTAAAGAGTCCTCTCCTGCTGATGTCAGGTGTAT